TTTGTATTGTCCACTGGGAACAAAGTCTTGTATGCATTACTTTTGTCCAAATCAAATTAAATTTCACTTTGGCGGTTAAAATTAAAAGCTAGCTTTTAATTAATAATTTGGTTTAACAGTTTCGTACGCTGGTATTAAAGAGTACGTGCCACCGTACTTGGACCCAACACTTAGCCTCGACGAACTCGAAACCGGAGTTTGCTTTGCCTCTGCCGGAACTGGATACGACCCCCTCACGGCTCAAATAAGCGTCTCTCTCTCTCTCTTTCTCTCTCTCTTCGTGTGTGTGTTCGCGTGTTTCTTACATGCTTTTCAAAATGATTAAATTATGGCGTGAGTGGAAATAAATATACATCGAGTATTAATCTTTTTTTTTTTTCGTCATCAAAGATTAAGTTTGAAAAACTTCGTTTAGTTAGTTTTTAGTTGGATTATATGTTTTTAGTAAAATAATATTCAAAGTAAAATGATTAAAGTTGAATTGATGTAAACGTATGAGACAAGTGATTGAAAATGATAAGTATTTAAAATTATATGATAATGAACAGTGAATATTAAAGTTTATATGATTTGTAAAGACGATGAATCGATATTATTTTGATTATATTGATATTGATTAAAATTGAGTTAGATCGATCTCGAATTGGAATTGGATTTGAATTATAAATATATCTGCATCCACTCGCGCCCTAAAAGATCTCAATTATTGTCATTTTATCGTAATTATATGTATTCATTTTATCAGATTATGTAATGTAAAAACTCATACTTTAATCATTTAATTTATTTAATCATTTTTGGTATAATTGCATGCAGGATGGAGTAATCACTATACAAAAACAATTGAAATATTTCAATGAGTACAAATCAAAAATGGAAGTGTACATTGGCAAGGAGAAGACAAGAAGCCTAATAAATAAGGCTGTGTTCCTAATAAGCGCTGGCACTAATGATTTTATTCTCAATTATTTTGGACCGCCGATTAGAAGCAAGACTTACACTATCTCCTCTTATCAAGAATTCGTTTTACAGCTTTTCCAACAATTCCTCCAGGTAAAATTAATTATTATTTGCGTTGCGTACCCACGGAACATGACTATCTAGAGGCGTTAGGCTCCGGCCTCCTTCTTTTGTACCAAAAAAAAAAAAATAAATAAATAATTATTATTATTAATTTCACATTTTTTTCTCCTTTTCAAATTGGTTATACAATAATTAAAAACTATAAATACATTAATCGAAAAATTTTTACTATAAGATAATAGGAAATTATATTTATATTTCCTTCAAGAATAAGATAATCAAGAGAGAGGGAGAGAGAGCCCACAAATTGATAGTATGCATCTTATAGGTATACATCTCAATCGATTATTAGTATATTGAGATATATCGTCTCTAATATATAATTATCGAATGTGCTGAGTCTAACTGACAAGCTGTTGTTCTTTTAAATCTTATTTGTCATAATTCTATATTTTGGATTGATATCTAATTAAGCTCGGGTTCATGTCAAGTGTTATATTAGCCATGACTATTTTCATAATATATTAAATATTTTCTTTCATTAAAATAATCATGATTTATTTCATTCTACATTATTCTTCCATAGTTTCTTTAATACTTTAATTTTTTTAATCATTTTTTTTTCTATTACATATCTTCAGTAAATCAATCATATTAATTTATTTCTCAATCTTTCTTTTCAATATTCATATTTTACGCATTTGGAAGATGAAATAATATGCCGTTATTCTTTTAAAAATGATATTTACTTAAAATCTAATTGGTATGTTTTTACTCTTATAAAATTGAATAATTATTTATTCAAATTCTAAAATTACATATAAATTTTAAAATATGTGAAACAAGACTGATACGACACTTGATCAATTAGACAACTAATAATATTTGAGTATGAAAACGTGGTGGCATAACAAACACCAAAGGCCCAGCCTTTATGTGATGATGGTTGAGTTGAGGCCGACGAGTAGTTGTTTTAAGAAGCGTAATTTTCATATTTATGGCTTACAACATCAGCTGGTGGGCACGTGGTATTTATTTATAAATTGGCGGTGTGTATTGAGTTACAATAATACTAGGTACAGTCTGTACATATACGATAAACTACAAGCTCGAAAAAAATTAAAAGTAATCAAGCTTAACTAAGGTTAAGTATTTCGAGCTCGTGTTCAATTATGTTCGAATAATATTTATGTTGGTTCATGAGCGAAAACCCATCTTCGAGATCATTTTGTTAATTGTTTCTCAATGTTGGATATCACTTTGTTCAAAAAAAAAATATATGTATATATATTAAAGCACAAAAATAAAAAAAAAATGCTAAAAGATTCATTTTTATTAAAAATATTATACATATCGAAACGAGTCGAATTAATTATCTGAGCTTGACTTATTAATAATTTTTTTTTTCGAACATGAATGAGCTTAATGTCCTAGTCTGGTAAGCTCATAAAAATTGGCCAAATTGTAAAATACAGCCAGTATCTTGTACACGGTGGCAATAATAACCACCATCTTTATGAATTGACAATATTAACCAACAACTTTTAAAATTTTGAGATTATTACCCAAATTCGACCAAATTCGACAGATAAATTGCAAAATATAGTCAAATACTTTTAACGCAGTGGCAACAATCACTACAAGAAAAACTGCATTTGACGATGCTTATTAATGACGCTTATTGGCGAGTTGTATTGCTAAATTTGATGTCAGAAAAAAATAAGCGTCGCCAAATGCAGTTTTTCTTGTAGTGAATAGCCATTGAATTTGCTCGGACATGGGTAATAACACCAAAATTTTGAAAGGTGTTGGTTAAATTGTCAATTCGCAGACATAGTGACTAATATTGTCACCGCGTACAAAGATACTAGCTATTGTGACTTTTATTTTTCGTTTTTTTTTTAAAAATTTCAAAACTTATTTAATAAAAAAAAAAAGGAAAATGGAATCATTATTTTGGACAGGGACTAATAAACATGGGCGCCCGGAAGATTGCTGTTGTGGGGCTGCCACCCTTTGGATGCGTGCCAGCTGTCATCACATTGAAATCCGACCACCCGTTGGATCGTCGCGGGTGCATCGACAGCCTGTCAGCCGTCGCACGGGATTACAACCGCCTGCTCGTGAAAAAATTGACGGCCGTCCAAACTAACGGCGTCATGATTAAATACGTCGATGTGTACAAACCCTTGGACGATATGGTTACAAAGCCCCAACAATTTGGTAAGCTAAAATTATTCTAAAATAGTCTAATTTTATATGAGAATCCAATGTTATATCTGCCGTTAATTAGGGTTCAACTAACACGATGTACCGAATTAATGTGATTAATATATGAAATTTAGAGTACCAAAATGATAAATAAATAAATAAATAAACTTAGGGTATACATAAAATGATTATTATTTTTTTTTTTCATAATATTTATTTTATTTATATATGTTTTGAAGGTTTTGAAAAGGTGGGTTGCGGTTGCTGTGGGAGTGGACTAATAGAGCTTTCGATTTTGTGCAATAAACTCTCGCCGGTTTGTTCCGATGCCTCTAAGTATGTGTTTTGGGACTCCGTACACCCGACTGAAGCTGCTTACTATAAAATCTTCGAGTCTTTGCTCCCTGTGGTTAATCAGTTTCTACGATAAAAATTTATTTATCGATATAATAATTTCGATCTTTTACCCAATCGTACGATTATTTATTGTCATATTTAGATGTCCGCGTGTAATTTATGTTGAATAAAACGCCATCTCATTGTTTGTATAATGTGCATTATGTTATAGAATATGCATACATATATTTATATTTATACAATATTTATTGATCCCCAATGTATAAAATAATCAATTACTCTATGTGCATATGTGGAGAAAATTGCAATTGTAGTCCAGTAACTTAGGTTGTTTCCCATTTTAGTCCACTAACTTAGGCCGATCTAAATTTGGTCCAAAAACTCCCAAAAGTTAGTTAAATCAGTCCAATTGGACTAAAATTGGACTGAAATTGAGCAATCAATTGGACTGAAATTGGACTGATTTAACTAACTTTTGAGAGTTTTTGGACCAAATTTGGATCGGCCGAAGTCAGTGGACTAAAATGGGAAACAACCTAAGTTTTTGGACTAACTTTTGAGAGTTTTTGGACCAAATTTAGATCGGCCTAAGTTAGTAGACTAAAATGGGAAACAGCCTAAGTTACTGGACTAAAATTGCAATTTTCTCTGCATATGTGCAAGTTGAAATCACAGATAGATAGAGGCTGTCTTTGTCATGTCACAGTAGCTTCAACAATTCCTAGTTATTTGGAGGGAGTTAATACAACAACAATAATATATACTACTAACTAGTTGATATTAGTCAATTATTTCCAATATAATAAAATTTTCTTGAAATATAACGTCTGCAAAATTAAGGTAAGTTTCACATGTGTTCTTTAAAGTTTCAATTTTTTTTTTTTAAAAAAATAAATATATATACTTATAAGAGGTTAAGGACAGACCTCCAACCTGTACATAAAAAACCTGGGCTGAAAAGTCACAAGTCTAATGTCTGATATATATCAAGTCAAACGAAAATAAAACCAGAAACAAGAGATAACTGACAACATCAGCAAGTAAAAATATCAGATATGCTAATGGTAGAGAAGATGCACCCAAAGGTAGGACCCGTTACACAAATCTGAATGAAGAGTATCTCATTTGGTCCATCCATATAAGGGTATGGAGGCGGAGAGAAATATCGTCAGAATAAAGAATGTGCATCTGATGGATGGAGGACCCGGTGTCAGGAAGGTAATTAGCAGGTCGGTTCCCCTCGCGGAAGATATACGAGATCTGAAAGCAAATCGACCGAAGCGTGGCTCTAATGCGCATGAGAGGATGCTGAATCTGCCAAGTGTCATAATGACCAGAGGTCAAGAGAGTGATGACAACGACAACGTCCAACTCTATCAAACGTCGGAAGAGATTGAGGTAGCAATCTGAAAACCGATCTGAACCGCCTGAATTTATGCGTCATAGATCGAGGAAGCGCCTGAATTTCAAATTCATTTACTACTACATCATATTATGTTAACCTGGATTTAGATGTCATACAATTATGTACAATTTTAACTCCCTATAATTAAAATAATGCAACTGCATTGAAGCTATTATTGCATTAAATTACGCTCAATGCCTAGAAAAATAAACAACCAACCTATGTTTTGCAAAATGGTTTTGTTAACACCCAATATATAAAAAAATTGTACCCAAAGCACTTGCACTACAAAAAAAAATGTTATTTTCCAACGGAAAATCCTATGGTAATATATTTCAATGGAAATTCCAACGGATATTCCAATGGTATAGCTTCCGTTGGAATGGTTTCAACGGAAATTCCAACGGAAATATCCCGTTGGAATGTGTTTTTCATTGGAATTTTAGATGGAATTTGATAATTCCAACGGCTATAATTCCAACGGCTTTTTACCGTAGGAATTTCCGTTGGAATATGCAAATTCCGTTGGAATTTTTTTTCCACCCCCGTTGGAAAATCCACCGTTGTAATCGTCAAAATCCAACGGAAATTTCAATGAAAAACCCATTCCAACGGAATATTTTCGTTAGAATTTCCGTTGGAATTTCCGTTGGAATCCATTGAAAAATTCCAACGGAAATAATAGTATTGAAATATCCGTTGGAATTACCGTTGGAATAATTCTTTGAAATATATTTCCGTTGGAATTTCATCATTTTATTGTAGTGTTGGATGAGATGGCTTGGGTCTCTTCCAGCTTAACTAGTGGTCTCGAGTTCGAGCCCTGGGATTACAGCAGTGTTAAAACTCTTGAGGGAGAGCTTTGCCGCCCTTGTGGTCATACCCGACTCGATTTCGAATTAGTCGGTTCTCCTGTGAATCCGGAAACCGGAAGGTTCCTGTACCAAAAAAAAAATATATAAAAAAATTGTTTACAACTTTCGTTTGTATTCCTTGTCACAAATTGTGGCAGAGGCTAGCTACAAACATTGCAAACTAACTTTATTAACCATTAATAAATAATTAGAAACATTAATTTTGCCAAATTTTATTTTTATTCTCCCAGTAATAGTAACTTTTTCGTTTCATTTTCATTTAATTTTTTATGAGCAAACTCTTTATGAAAAATTAATTTTAGTCATCAACCAAACTGACAAACAGGTACACGCCCGTACACAAAGATATTAATTCTCATGCATTTTATTTTATTTTTTTTTATTGTTTTTTTATTTTTTTATTTTTTTTTCTCATTTGCTTATGTTATTATGTTAGTGTCCAAGCCTGATTCATCAGATTAATTCCATACATATTGTGTGTCCCTATCAATTTTCCGTAAGAGTAATTAGATTCAGACAGAGTAGTTGTGACCTATTAACAACATATGTAGAAAAAGCCTTCAACTTTCAAGTACTTAAAGTAGTCACATAATGTGTGCAAACTGCAAACTCAACCATCTTGAAAGCAAAATGACAACAAAAATGACCTTTGCATCGATCACGTTTTCTCGTCGTTATTTTTACTTAGTCCTTTCCTTGCTTGCGTCGTACAAAGCCACCGCAAGAGATTTTCCCGAGCGAAAATCCGATAGCCAACCGATTTCAGCCATTCTCGTTTTCGGAGACTCCACAGTTGACCCCGGAAACAATAACTACATAAATACTCTTTTTAAGAGCAATTTTTCGCCTTACGGTAAGGATTTCGCGAACCACACTTCAACCGGAAGGTTCACCAATGGTCGCCTAGCGAATGATTTCATTGGTAAGTGTTTGTACGTTTTTACAGATTAAGGCTATGTTTGGTAATCAAATAAGCTAACTTATGGCTTATAAGTTGTTTGTGTTCAAATAAGTTTCATTTGGTAGGACAATCTTATTTAAAAAGCTCGAGCTTATCTAATAAGCAGATTTTTATTTCATTTAGCTTATCAGTTAATTTTACGGAATCAACTAGTTTTAGCTAACACAACCTCACTGAATCAGGGGAAGAGATGTTTCGTCCAAAAACCATGGGAGGGGTAGCCCACTAGCTTATAAACTATACTCAATTTCCCTAGGAATCAATGTGGGACAACTCACAAGAGATATTACAGTTACGATTATTTTTTGTATTTTATTTTCAATGCAGCTAAATATATTGGCCTAAAAGAGTACGTGCCTCCGTATTTGGATCCGAATCTTAGCATTGAGGAGCTCATGACTGGAGTCAGTTTCGCGTCGGCTGGGTCTGGATACGACCCGCTAACACCAGTGATAAGCGTACGCGTTTTTTT